AGAAAAATCTTTGATAATTTTGAAAACCTCGTGTTCATTTTCATGCATTCTTTTTCCATATTCATCATCAAAATAGCAAGAATTAATGCACAGTGCTTTTCACTTAAACGATGCATTAGTGATTTATAATGAAAAAATTTCATATATTTATTATTATTATTATTATCATTATTATTAATTTCGCCAGAGAAATAAATTCTAAGACTAAACTCTTAAAAGCACTAGCATCTAAGGCTATCGGCTTTTCATATATTTAAATCATCTAAGTGAAGATGTACGTTCCTTATATATAAGTAGGACTTGAAATTCATTTCGAAGAAACACTTTATTGCTGTACAGCAAAATATTCTTGAGCGGAGTATCGCTATAATTGATTCATTTAATTAATTCAATGTTTTATTAAAATATTACTGCTTGTATTGTATTGTATTGTAGTAGGATTGGTATTAATTGTTAGATAAAAGATATAATTTTTTTCTTTTTGAATGTCATTCGTTTATGCAAATAACCTAAATAGTCATAAAAATGCGTTTATTTGATTAACTTAAAGGAAAAGGATTGTTTTTTTTTTTTTTTGTTTGCATAAGCCATCGCTTTTATAATTAAGCGATTAATGGAGAATTTTAATAGGCAACTGACCGTCTCTTTCTTCTAATATATGCTGCTTCTTATTATTTAGATAAATGGCAACTAAATGAAGAGAGACAAAATTCATCTGGCAGAAGAACTCAAGCCGGCTGATCATGCAACGCATAGAAGGTATGCTGATTGGTTGGTTTGGCTCCCGAGCAACAGCGAGCAGGTGACATTTGGTCTGGAAGTGGGGCAAGGCGCGTGCTTCTTTAAAAATGATGGGAATGTGACACAAACGATCAATTCGAATCGGCGATCGACTTTATTGAAAACTTTATCGTACTTCAGCTTTGAACCCACGATCAATGAGTTGTTAGTCGAGCCACTTGAGACGAGAGTAATCTTTTGAATTAACTAAATGACAATAATTGCTCATCTAAGTGCTTAAATTAAATGAAAAGTACTGTAAGTGTATCCTGCTGTACGATATACATCATGATCTATAGCAAATTTTATTCACCAACAGTTGTCAACTGTAAACTGAAAGACAATCCTTTAAATTTTTGCATTCTTTTTTTTTCCTTTTTGTTTTTTTTTTTTTTTGTTTTTGGCGTCATTAACACTTTCTTTTGTTGAATATTTGGTTCCCAACTCTTTTGCGGCTTTTATTCAAATAAATATTCTTTAGTTTCGTTATGCATGTGCGTGTGACTTGAATTTGAAAAATCGTTTTTCTATCAATATGCGTTTGACAGCTCTAGAACAATTTTCCCTTTATTTTTTTCCTTTTCTTTCTTTTATTTATTTATCAGTTTGTTGTGTGCCTAGGCACGTCAAAGGCTATGCGCTTGCACTGCGGTTTAGGTTACGGGAAAAGGGATGGAAAACCTAAACAAATAAATATTCGCCAAATGTAATGTACACTTAAAATTTCTTGCTTTTTTTTTATTAAACGAACAAATTCACAGAAAAATTTGGGAACATTTTTATTAATACTTTTATGAGAGTAGACAAAAAAGCAACTGATGTTATGTGCCTTATAAAAAAAGTCAGTGTCAATCAAAGTACTTTTAATCATGAATAATGAAACATAAGTTATTATTATTATTATTATTATTATTATAAGTTTCGACTAATGAAATAAATTCTTAGACTAAAAAAAAAATGACATTGCTTGAGCTTAGTAATATAGAATTGATATTCGATTCTGAAGCTGATTTTAGAATATCCAAAGAGTTAATCGTTCCAAATGCAATACTTTTAGCCAAGGAAAAGTTAAGGCAGTCGCAGAGAATGTCCTTTATAGTGAGAGTTTGTTATTTATTTATTTGTTATTTGTTATTTTGTTATTTCTTTCTTTCCCTAGAGCTTTTTCTTTTTTACTTGCGATGAAAAATATATTCCTTTGTGCAACTGTAGTTGTAATCTCCTCGTCTATAATATCACTCTCAATAGTGTGGCGCGAATGATCAGGAGGGATCGTCGTGAGTACCATCGTGAATTATTATTTCCCTATTAAGCTCGCACAATTGATTCTCTATTATTATTATTGCACTTGACTGAAGGTGACATGCGGTTCCGACTACTTGTAGAGAATCTTGTTCGCTATATCTGTATGGCTCCACTTCCAAAAAAAAGGAAACTGCCTTTTGATTCGAGAAAATATATTATTGCGATTTTACCTTTCTCACCTCCGCTCTGCCGTTGGCCCGTAAAACAACTAGCAAAAAAGATTGGAGAATTCAACACCGCAGCATAAAACCAAATTTCCTGAAAGAGAGAAAGTATCGATCACAATATTGATTTATTTTATATGACTAGATTCATGTTTGTCGGCTAATCCCTAAGCAGTTACAATTCAAGAGACACCTTAAAAGCAATCCACTCGGAAATTGTCATCACTTTCGTCGATTTTATTTTGTATTTCTTCGCTTTTCCGTTAAGCATACATGAAGAAGAAGAAGAAATTATCTTTAAAAACAGTCAACAATTATTCAAGCTTTCGTTTTGGATACGGAAGAAGAGTTAAAGGAAAAGAAGAGTTAAGCAAAAGAAGACTGCAAGTACTGAGGACTTGTGAGAGTACAACAGAAAATTTCAAGCTTCGATCTTCGAGCTTAAGTTAACGAACAATAAGGAAAGTTACTGACTACTGTTTACGTTTTCGTCAACATAAGAATCTCTGCAAATTACAAACTGGGCTAAATCTGTTCTTCGACGGTCATAGTACAAAAATTGTTAGGTCTTTTATTGACTAGAAACGCGTCAGCCAGATTTGTTAACACATTCGCAATCGCATTCTGTTTCTGAACGCGTCAACATTAAGCATTTGCTATAACCACTTGTATGGGAGGCACTAATGTCCCTAATGCATATAAGTCCCGATATTGAGATATAGAATTTTTTATAGAATTTTTTTTTTAGAATTCCTTCACCATAAAATTGATGAGTGAAGAAAACTCATTCATAAGTGAATATAGTATTCTTAGTTGTTATGATACCGTACATCGCTTGTGATGCAAGGATATATTGAGT